CTCTCTCTCTCTCTCTCTCTCTCTCTCTCTCTCTCTCTCTCTCTCTCTCTCCTATTTGACTGGAATTTTGAACATCAGTGTAGCTAAAAATGTCTTACTTGTTTAATTTTACATGTAAATGGCCTGAGCTTATATAGTGCTTTATTAAGTTCCTACAGACTCCAAATTGTTTTACAATACATTCATTCACACCYATTCACACACTGATGGTGGTAAGCTACACTGTAGCCACAGCTGCCCTGGGCCACACAAACAGAGGCGGGGCCACCGGGCTCTCTGACCACCACCAGCAGGCAGGGCAAGTGTAGTGTCTTACCCACAGACACTGAGACGGATGGGACAGGGGATCAAACCAGCAACCCACTGGTCACAGGACGACTCTACTTTMCCACAGCCGCCCTGATCTGGATGCACAAAATGTGCTGCATAACTCACTCATCACAAACACTTTAATTTTTGTGAAACTGAAAATGCAATTTTGAGTCATTACCTAGTTTCCAACAGTCACAGCCCTTTAAGTTCCTTTCTCRCAACACTTACAAGTTGGGCCTAAAGGACTGTTGATACTGAACAGTTTCAAACACTGTACAGAACTTATACTGTACATCATACTGATACAAAATCTTGATGAAATTCTGTGTCGCACTGTAAAGCATAATGGTTGCCTTGAAACATGACGCGCACGTGTAAACACCTTTGGATATTTATCTGTATACTGACCTTCAGAAATCTTTTAATTTAATTAAGATGCTGTTAAACTCTCACACAATACAACAGCAGTAGAGCAAGGCGGTGTGTGTATGTGGAGGGGACATTGTCTGTGATAAAGTAGGCAGCCTTGTGGAGAGATGACGAAGAGGAGGAAGCAAAGTCCCTTACAGGCCAGCCCTGAGACGTAAAATAAATTTTAACCAGAGTTTAAAAAGTAACATTATCTGTGTACTTCTGTAGACATGCAAAATTGGAGAAAATCTGTGCAATTTACAAATAATCCGTAGAACTTGACATGCATGGTGACGTAACATGTCATCATGGAAGTATTTTAAAATCCAATTCTGGAACAGTTCCAGTTCAGTAGCTACTTTCAACGTACACAATTTATGTAATTCTCGTGGCAATAGAGATGAAACTACATTAAATAGCWTCCATTCATTATCATTACCCGCTTCTTCCTTTCTGTGTCACTGGCGCCTACGTTCAGCAGTCACTGCGAGGGGCGGGGGACACCAAGAGAATAGAAATGCTTCCATGGGACAGAGTACGACGGAAACAGAAGTAAAGAAAGGGTGACAGAAGTTATCACTCTGGGTGACCATCCAATGCTGTGGGATGGCAGGTTTTCATTGCACWGCATAACCAACACAACACTATCCAATCTGATAAAGTTTTCCATTACCTGGCATTTTCTTTCATGGTTTCATGATGTTAATAACTAATATAGTTACTGTATGTAATCTACAAGTTGTTGTGGTAGAAAAATGCAAAATGCAAGTATTGAATTAAGACTCTGTATTTGCTAATATTTAGTTTTAAATAACTCTGGTCAGTATCGAGGACAAAAACAAATCAGTTCCTTTCTTTTTAATATTCTTTAGCTGTGAGTGTGATAGAACTTGAATTTAAATTTATCACAGATATGAGAAGTTTAATTTCTCTTGTTTTCTGTGGATTTCCAGTCGATCGTCTGACCTGGATCTTTGATGTAGATCTGTAGTTTGGGTTAACTCTGAGTAACCTGAGTGGATGACCCACCCTCACAAGAGGAAGGTCAGTGTAGAGGTGGATGGGAGTGGACCACACACACCTCCTGCCACCAAGAGATTTATCAAGCCAGCTTCGCTCCCCGAAACACATGGTTAATTTAGCAGCCATTACAGGTGACATCTTGATGAATAGAGAGGGCTGCTCTCGCATACATAGGCAATACGCATAAACACACACAAACATACCCAGACACACACAGACACGCTCGTGGGAAGAATAATGGTCATTTTACTGCAGTCTGCAGGAGGACAAGAGATAAAAGTTAGTGTTGGGAGAATGATGTGTCAGGCTGGTTTCATTAACTCAGAGATAGAAGACTCCTGTCTGTGCCATCAGCGATTATTCTGGAGGAAAAAAGAAATGATTCTTTTCTGCTGGAGATGGACATGTGCACTGACACGCTGACAAACGATCAAGTCACCAGCACGGCTAATCCTGACTATTTATGCAAGCACCCAATAATCCTGTCTCTAATTAGGACCCCTGCTAATCGGGATTCAAGACGCGCTGAAATGTAAAAACAGTGGGCGACATATGCGGGTCCACCTGTGCGTACCGCTCCAGAGAAAACATTGTATTCAACCAGGAGATGGCAGACCATTGCTCATCAGTCCCCTTGGCCATTTATCATCATTTTCATCCCTTAAAACTGATACGTATTGATTTGGTGAAGCTGCCTTTCACCGCATTGAGTAGGAGGTTCCACGCGCACCACAAACATTCGATCACTGTCAAACATGTGTTGGCTCAGCCTGTGACAAACATACACTAAGCTGTTGTACAAAGAGCTGTCTATTCAAACCAACAGATGATATAGAGTTGTTCTACCCACACACGCAGGAAGCAGTCTGCCTACGGTTGAACGGCAGCCCAGAACCAGCAGCGGATAGAGAATGTCCTTTATGAGGCAGCGACTCTGCTCACGCTTTCTATCTCTCTAGCAGCTTTGGCAGAGGAGCAGAACAGACATACAGACAGACAATAGAGAAGCCTCTGTAGAGATCAACATGCACCGCTACACAGCCAGCAATTTTTTTCTCTCTCTTCTTCTTCAGTCCCACAGCGTGCGGGGGACACTGTAACCCTTTAATATACATTTTAAAAACACGGACAAATTCACTTTGGCTAAGCTTTGTCARATTCAAAGTTCTCCCAAGGATTAGCTTCAGACGCAGCAAAAATTATTCCAGCCAAATGAAACCAGAGGCCCAGGAGGACGCAGCACTGGAGCATGCGCTGCTAATAAAGAAATAGCAGAAAGTCAATACGCTGTCTGTCTGTATCATCGCAGTAACAATCATATCAGATCGAACAATCACATCAGACGCAAACTTGATTTGATTATGGTCTTTCACCACTATAGGTATTTTTTTCCCCCCCGTCTCTCGTCGCCAGCAGTGGAGGGTTGTCATTACCTTCGGCTCACATCAAGATGCATCCTGAAGGTCAGGCCTGATGAATTGGAGAGACAGTTCTGTCATAGAGAGCAGCCATTATCCATGATACTGAAAGAGATTATTCCCCCTCCTGGGAGAGAGGAAGAGGAGAGCAGATACCGAGCAGAGCAGGTGAAGATTAAAGGAGGAGGAAAAACAATGGAGACAGGAAAGAAAGGCAGGAACGGTGAGCCACATCCAGTGGGCTCAAACAACACTTCAGCAAGGAGTCACTGAAATACTGATGGGTGATTTGTGACAAAATTCTCCCCTAACCACTTAAAGCTGACACCTCAGTGCAACTGTTTCTCTCCACAGCAGGCAGTCAGGGATGACATCAGTGTACCTGAGAGAAGCTACAATAGTCCCAGCCCAGTTAGAGCTGACACCAGGAAGCGGTCTCCCTCCCCCGCTCCCTCTGTTTCAGCTCAACATTTTTTCTCAGCGGTGATGTCCTCTGACAGAATCCTGCACTGAAACCTCGCCACAAGGCTGYTAGCTAAAGATTTCCCCTCAGGCTGGAATTTAAGGAGGGAAAGGCCTGCTGGTTTGAGTGAATTCAAATAACATTGATCCGTCCCTGTTATCACTGAGATATTTGCCAATCAGCTTAAAACATAAGGACRTCCTATGGTACGCCATCATCCCACGTATCATAACATCAGGGGGTAACAAAAACAAGGCGATGAGCTTGGCAGCTCATAGGATAACCCATCCTAATAGGGTTCTTCTTGAACCTTGAGCCCATCTTCCCATCTGTCCCCGCTTCTCTCTGCAGGCTGTGGTGATGAAGTGCTCTGTGCCTGCAGTAGACCAGCGGTGTGCCATGCATGATAAAAAGCGAACGGATGGCAAGGGAAGCCTGAGGAAGGCTGCACAACCCAGCTGCTGGTGCAAAGCTGCAGGCCGGAAAACACACAGCAGGCCCAGAGGTGGAAAAACATGATTTAAATGGCAGTAAAACATGGATGCAAAGTGAGTGGCTCTGTGTGGCACTACACACACACACACACACACACACACACACACACACACACACACACACACACACACACAC